TTATCAATAACCATTTATATATATTTGTGTTGTATATTCAATCATCAGTTGTTGATTAGTTATATGGATATTATGTAAAAGTTTTTGACACAATGCTTAGCTTTGATAACAGTAAAATATGGCGGTGAATAAGATATAAGGTTATTATCGTGTTTGTAGATAGTGAATGTGACGGGTAAAACAGGTTTAGATTGTATAAATACCGAACAGATAGTATGACAAGTAAATTTTAGTTTTTCTTCCATTGTTCTTCTATAGTAATATGCGGAATGTATGACAAGTAAATTTAGTTTTTCCTCTACTTCTCTTACGTAGTTATGTGGGGCAAAATGATTAATTTATTTTTCAATTATAATAAATAACATTATAAAAAAAATAATAGGGAATAAAAGAAAAGAATTGCAAATGACATAAAATACTATTCAAATCACATCTTTCTTTAATTTATTTACGTATCAACCATTATTGCAATTGGACAAAATTTTAATAGTTAATTAATTGTTAGAGAAAATAAGCCCTTTATTACTAATTGAATTATCTTAGGATTTTTTTTCCTACGGGAGCAATCATGTTTTTGTCAAAAAAATAATGATTTGATTTATAAACAGTGCAATGTACGGGCATTATGCTAGTTCACCAATATGATCATAGTTTGATAGAGTATAAAACATATCCCTAGGTCTCAGCCATCAGTTTAAACTTTTGGTTGACTAGTTGGTCCACTAACATGGTATCAGAGTCAACGTGACATAGAGGTCACGGGTTCGAATCTCATCCACTCTCACCTTTAAGTGAATGATGGGTATGGGGAGGGCTCATGTTGCATCCACACTTCAAGTCTGACGGGCTTTCGTGTGAGGAGGGGTGATTGAGTATAAAATTTATTTTTGGACCTCAACCATTAGCTTAAATTTTTAGTTGAGTTGGTCCATCAACATAGTTACATCATGTCCATAATGGCGAAGGATAACTTCTGCCTCCTCTCTCCATTCTCCACCCTTATCATCAGATAATCTATACTCTATTCGATAATCTTCTATTATACGGAGTAATAAGTTTTCTCATATCTATCAAATGCCAAAGAATTCCAACCTATTCTTTGTAAAAGAATTTATGGAGTTAACTTAATTATTTGTCTTGACTTTCTAAAGTTGCAAATTAAGGGACCAACGTAGCCCCACGAGAGAGACTAGTGTCTGAGGTTGGGTCTCCAACTCTTCTGGGCTTGTGTATGGGTTTGCTAAGAATTGGACCCACTTTATATTTTGGGAAGTCATCCGTATCTGGCATGTACTATTTTAATGGATTGATGATACACTATCGGATAGGGACAGCTTCTTGTGTCCATCCCACGCACGCATTTATCAAACACATGTAGTCATGTACAACTTCCACGATTGTCATTTGTCAAAATCGGACCCTACTCGATATAGTATCCATAATCAACCCGTATCCGAGGATTGGGTATGCATGTGACCCGCAACTAGACCTAATTATTGGATAGGATAGTTTAATGTTTATAGGGTTTGAGTTAGAGTTAAAGGGCTCTTATCAAAAAGAACATTATATTATGGGGCTTTCATATGAGGGACGTGATGGAATCTAATAAAACATATTTTTAGGTATCAACCATCAAGTTAAGAGTTTTGTTCGTAATTGTTTTTTGTTTTTGAAAACTAAAAACCAAAACAGAAAATTAGAAAAAGTTATTTCCACTATATCATATGGTTTTGATTGAGTTATAAAATGTAATTAAGTAGTTACTGAAGTGTATTGGAGAGCATGCAAAATACAAAAGTGAAGAACATCTTTAAACAAATGAATGAAGTAAATTCTCAAAATGCAAAAGTGGGAAACAAAAAGAAGTTATAGAGGTTTGATTGATTAGAGATGAATTTAAAAATTATAGTAACTCCGGTTGGCATTACTCGCAATAAAGGGATATTATTGTGAGATATAAAATATTTCTTTGTTGCGAGTAATGTGAACCGGAATTAGGTAGATATTAAATACAAATCTAGGTTATATCTTGCATGCGACACCGAGATATGAAGATAGAGAGTACATTTTACAACTTTACAAGACCAAATGAGGTTAAGACTTAAGAGGTTCCATCCTAAAATCATGGAGTAGTCCTTTAACCTTATACAATGTTAAATCCTCTCTTCTATTCTCAATGTGGGATACTTACATGTGTTGTTTGCGAAATTTACTCCTTAACAGTAGAAAGAAGACTTGCTAATGGGCTTAATTTTTGGATGAAATGAATTTTTATTTTGTAAAAAGGAGTACATAATAATTTTTTATTATTATTTTATTTTATTTTATATATATATATATATATATATATATATATATATATATATATATATATATATATATATACCATAAAGGCGGGTAATGAGAATTCATCCTAGGATCTCTTGAAACCGGGAAGTGAGCTCTTGAAATTTTTATTTTGTAAAAGGAGTACATAATGTAGTAATTCATGTAGCACTTTTCACTCATTAATTCACCACAATCACAAGTAACTTAACAATAAAAAGCCTGTAAGGAATGTTCAAACATCTTACACAAGATTGACTTTATATATACTCGTAATAATTTAATATAGTTTTTTTTTGGTATTCTATTCGGTTCACCCTTTTGGCTAATCCAGATTCGGGGATCAGTTCTGGGTGGTTAGGTTCCAGTCCCCTCCCGATTGTTGTTGCGGGGGATCGAACACGGATCCTCCCTACCAAGTGTAGTGTCAATCACCACTACACCAACAACCAATTAGTAATAATTTAATATAGTTGACTCTAATAAATAAACTCTATTTGTACGTAGTAATAAGGAATTAAGGATGATTCATCAACTTCCTTAACATTTTAACTACTACCAATGTTGTTTAATTATTACAACGGTCAAATAGTGTTAAGGGAGTGTACAACACCACCATAAATCTGATCATAAATTCATAATTACGTAAATCCGACTGATATATAAAGGTCCAAGGTCCAACGTCTCCAAGATGTGTGTGCCTTTATTGCCATATAAGACTTGCCAAGTTGACTTTAATATGATAAATTGATAATGGGCTCACAGATCTTACAATAAAAGTAAATTAAACGGCAAGGCCAAAACTTGTTAGATTACCATTATGGCATTATTCTAATAACTCATACAGTCATTTTTAAGCAAAACAGAGACATATTTTTAATCGTGTTTATAAATAATACTCCCTCCGTTTCATAATGTTAGTCTCATATGGAACCAATTACATAAAATAAGAAAAGAAATATATTTGGAATTTAACATTAAAGTACAACATAATTCATAATTAATTTACCTTATTTAACTTTTTAAATTTTTTATTAGGAAAGCATAAGTCATAATTGCATAATTTAAGGTAATGATTTCCTTATTTAGAGTCATGTCATCAATCCACAACTTATTAATTCCAAAAAAAAAATCAAGTTATAGATGAAATATATTCAATATGGGTATATCTTTTTGAAACACCCAAAATAGTATATGGGACTAACCTTATGAAATGGAGAGAGTATCGATTGGAGCACATGTTATATCATCAATACCTTTAATTATATAAAGAATTTGCTAAAGGAAAAAAAAAATTGATGTTTTAAAAGTATATACCAAGACGAATCTAACATAATAATCCAACATAACTATAGATTTTCAAACATATTTTCACATTTGCATAAGGATGTATTCTTTTTGAAGGAAATAATCCGTGAGTATTGCATTTGCTTCATAGCCAATATATACACATTACAGCCTTAACAGAAGGCACTAATTACGCTAACAATAAGGAAAGAGCTAACTATGAACAATATACTAGGCTATAAACATGGTAACTAAATTATCAACATTGACCAAAGATATATTAGAATAATATATCTTAACAGTTAACACACCCCCATAGTCTAAGCGGGAGGAGGACGGACACTTAGATTATCCTTAAAATCTTCAAATAGCAACGAGGGAGCCCCTTTGTGAAAAATCTGCAATTTGGTGCCTTGAAGGAACATGAAGAACACGAACCTCACCCCGGGCTAACTTTTCTCGAACAAACAAAATATCCATCTCTATGTGCTTTGTTCGTTGGTATTGCACCGGATTGCCAGAAAGATAAATAGCACACATTGTCACAATACACCATTGTTGCCTTTTTAATCGGACAATTTAACTCCAAAAGTAAGTTTCGAAGCCAACACGACTCAGAAACTACATTAGCAACGCCCCTGTACTCTGCCTCAGCACTAGACTTGGATAGAGTAGGTTGTCGCTTTGAGGACCAAGAAATCAAATTATCACCCAAATACACACAATATCCGGATGTGGAGCGTCTAGTACCCGGACACTCGGCCCAATCAACATCTATATATGAAACCAGAGATGAAATAGAAGACGGATATAGGTGTAAACCATGGTCAATAGTGCCCTGAATGTACCGAATAACCCGTTTGAGAGCAGCCATATAACTCTCCTTCGGATCATGCATATGTAAGCAAACCCGTTGGACCGCATAAGATATATCTGGTCTAGTAAAAGTAAGGTAAGGTATTGCAAGGCACCTGCAAGACTACGATATAATGTAGGATTGGCACACGGTGAACCTGTGGAACTGTCCTTCGGTTTTACCTCAACGGGTGTAGCCGAAGGTTTGCACGAAGCCATCCCTGCTCGGTCAATAATTTCCTCCGCATATTTGCGTTGTGACAAAAATAATCCACCCTTATGTCTTGTCACTGCTATGCCAAGAAAATAATTAAGATGACCCAAGTACTTCATAGCAAATTCCGAGCTAAGAAGGGACATAATAGAACGCCATAGAGTATCAGAAGAAGCAGTAAGAATAACATCAACATATAAAAGCAAATGAGCCACATTTTTCCCATGACGATAAATAAATAGGGAATTGTCACTCTTACTATTAGTGAAACCATAGAAGCAACAAAATCTGCAAACCATTTATACCACGCCCGGGGTGCCTACTTAAGACCATATAAAGAGCCCCGCAATAAACACACATAATCAGGGTGAGTTTTATCACGGTACCCAAAGGGTTGATGCATATAGACTGTCTCCTGAAGCTCACCATGTAAAAAAGCGTTCTTAACATCAAGTTGATGGATCGACCAAGCTTTAGACAAATTAAGGCTAAGAATAGTACGAATAGTAGCCGGCTTCACAACCGGACTAAAAGTCTCCCCACAATCAATGTCAACCTGTTGTGTTTTGCCATCACCTACAAGACGGGCTTTATGCCTCTCAAAAGAACCGTCAGATTTTACTTTGTGAGTAAAAATCCACATAGAACGAATAACATTAACATCCGGCGGACAGGGCACCAACTCCCACGTCTTATTTTTGATAAGAGCATTAAATTCATCATCCATGGCCATTTTCCAATTCGGGTCACGAAGAGCAGAAATGGGGTTACGAGGCAAAGGTGATTTCGTAACGTTAGTAGTCATTGCACTAAAATTATTATACTTTGGATTATGCTCGACTATACATACCATGTCTACTACGAGTCATGATAGTAGGAATAGAAGGTTGCGGATGTGAAATTGGAGAAGGTGGAGCGGCTGTGGGCTGTGAGGAGCAAGCTGTCGGCCTTGCTGCATGGGTAGGCCTCTCCTGGGCCGTGGTTGATTGAACTGGCCCACAGTCCAGTTGAGTCCCATTCTGCCCACGGTCCAGCTTGATAGCCAAACTGGGCTGCTGGGAGGAGGAGGATGTTGCGGCCCAGTTTGTGGTGATGAAGGAGATGTGGTGTGGGCTGGTGTGGACGGCTCAGATGAAAATTATACCCTACATCCTAGTGTAGGATGGTCTACCTACACCCCTGATGCTACGCCGTTTTGTAGTTTGCGGGGAGTACTCACGAGCTAATTCATGCTTCAATTCTTTCCTTTTTTTTTTTTTTATTTTTTTAATTTCTTGTTTCTTATTATTCAAGCTATGTATATAAATGATTTTAAACCCAATATTTTCTCTCTCCTCAATTGATCAATTTCCATTTTTCTACCTACATTCTCTCTAGTTAATTCATCTTCTTCATTTGATTTTATACTAATTTTGCCGTTTATTTTTCCTATGATTTTGATAATTGTTGTTGATCATCAATGGCTGATTCTTCCTCTGCTAATTTCGATCGTGATTACGAAAGTATGTTTCCGTCTTCTAGAGTTCGATTGATTGATTCGTTTGTTCATCAACAATGTGAGTAATTACAATCATAATTTTGTAATTTTTATCATCAATACATTGTTGTGTTATAATGCTCTGTTTATTTCAACTTAGTTTATGTATTATTATTCTTTTCGTTGCTTCAATTTTCAAAATTTGATTATGATTATGATGAACGTTTTTGGATTGTTCATACTTTGTTATGAATATTTCGCTGCTTCAATTTATTTCATTGCTCTATGTTTGAAAATTGCGTGATTTTGTTTTTATGCTTTTATTTTTATTTTTTTTTTGGATCATTTTTATATTTAAAATTAATCAATTATGTGTTATCATTTGTACTTCTTAATTTTTTTATGTCATATATGATTATTTGTTTTTACCATTTTTTCTTGATAATATTATGTGTCAAAATTTTCCATATTGATCATGTGCAATTTTGCTATTGAACATTGTATTTGTTAATTATTGTTCATTTTTGAAACATGTTATGTTCATTTATAATTGTACATTAAAACTTTGTGCAATGAGAAAAAAAACTGATATTTCATATCTTGCTAAGGTTTTGATCTTATCTGTTTATTTAAGTGTTTGAAATTGAACATTTATATATTTTAATATGATCATTTAACTTTTATTTGAAGGCGAAGGATTTAGTGTTTAAAGGATTTAATATGATCATTTTTTGAAACTTGTTATGTTCATTTATAATTGTATATTAAAACTTTGTGCAGTGGGAAAAAAAGCTGATATTTCATATCTTGCTAAAGTTTTGTTTTTCTTATCTGTTTATTTAACTGTTTGTAATTGAACATTTATATATTTTAATATGATCATTTAATTTGTTTTGCAGTCGAAGGATTTAAATATTCCTATAAATAAAAGTGTTGCTGGTGTTTCTGCTGCTCAAGCTCAATGTAATGTTCAGATAAAAAAAGGTGGTGCTGGTGTTAAAAATGATGCTCAAGTTAATCCAAGAGTACTAATGCGTCTACAAAATCTCAAACTAGATATTTTGTTCCACCCGTAGTTCTTGGCATTGTTCCAACTTCAACTCAGGATTGTTCAAACTTCAATCTAGAAATGTTTAAACCCCATTCCAGAAATGTTCAATCGACAAATGTTTAAGTTATTCCTCCCACGGTTCCAATAAATGATCAAGGTGCTCTTGTTCAAAGTTCTTCAAGTGTTAAAGACATAAGAATTTGTTTCTATATAGTACCTTTTTTAGTATATTGTTTTTTTAAAATTCAACATATGTAAATGATTATTTATCAATTTGAAAATGAACAAAAGTAAAGAACCAACAACCAATTCATAAAACCTAAAAATTATATATATTTTTTCATACAAATAAAGATTAAAATGAAATATCAATTACAATAATTTTTTTAACAAATAATATCTATAAGTCTATTTTCCTCCAAAAAAAAATCATCTATAAAACTATATACTTCCTCCGTTTTCTTTTACTTGCAACACACCTTTTAGGCACGCAATTTTAGGAGATGATTAATGAGGGTAAACGAGCTATTTTATCAATATAATTTTTACACGAAGATTAGAATAGGGTTAAGTATCATTTGTAAAAATTATAATGAATAATTTATCCGTTTACATTACATAAACCCGACCTCAAAACACGTGCCACAAGGCTGTGTTGCAAGTAAAAAGAAATGGAGGAAGTTTAAGATATGATCATATACACATTCATTAATGAACATATACACTTTCATAAATGAACATATAACATGTACTATTCATTTGCAAACTTCCTTGCTTATCTTCGATTTAACCTATATTTAGTGTTTTTCTTCAAATAGCATCAGTTCCGCATCCTTGCTTCCTAATTTGGTTCACCTGTTGAACAAAATGAATTAACAAATGTTAATTATTATATACACTACTTTATAAATGAACAATATATCTTACATTATTGAACATTTATCACTTTTACACTATTTGGTTTCAAATCACAAATCTAACTCTCATTAAGTTTAGTAGTGAATGTTTCTATATGCTTCATAATTTATACTCCGCAGTTTGTATAATCAGCGTTGTTAAGCCATTTTATCTTCTCCAAAACAACTACGTATTCTTCAATTCCATGTGCAAATTTATATCAAATGTGTAACTTTGGACATCACTACAATATAGCTAGATTGGTTGTAAGATATTAGTTTTAATGCATACAAATGAACATTATCAATATTATACATGAGGATAATGTATAAAAGAAATGAACATTCGTTATTTAGGCATATAAATATATATGTAAACTGAAATGAACCAATATTAACATATATTTTAAAATGAACATTACTTTATATGTAAATGAACATTATGAATTTCATAAATGATCAAAAGATTTGATAGAATAAATAAGTCAGTTTCTCAACTCAAATGAATGATTATTTATGCATTTCATAAATGTGCATAACATATCATAAAAATGAACATTATTTATTTAGGCATATAAAGTCAAATATAAACTCAAATAAATTCAAATATACAAATGAACATTTATAATTCTATATATGTTCATATATTAACTCGGAATCGTAGAAATGTTAACATCTATACCATAAGACTTTTTAATATCTTTTAAAAGTTCTAGATCTACAACTTGAGACTTTTGTTCGTTGTTTTTTTTAAAAAAAAATTTCTACTCTTGTTTAAATAGGTTTTTGAAATAATACTTACGTTTCTTCAGACTATGCCTTGTTATGTTCAACGAACATGATTCTTCTCTGAATCATCATTCTCTTTATCTCTCTAATTCGAAATATATTTTTCGGTTCTGTAAAAAATAAAAAAACAGAAAACATAGTAGATTTTAATGATTTTTGCATAAAATAGTTCTAATCAAGTTAGATTATGTTTCTGAACATGTAATTTCAAAATGAAATACGTAGTAGAAAAAATAGGTTCATACAAAAATTTTTAGTAAAATTACTTACTATTTCTGTGAATGTTGTTGCGATTGTTGAATTTCTTCGCAAATGTAGACATTTGAAGGAATTTAGCAATATTTTGAAGCAATTTTGTAGTATTTTGAAGCAATTTTGTAGTATTTTGAAGCAATTTTGGTTCATATTTTCTGGTTTTGATGAGAGAGAAAGTCTAGAGAAATGAAGAAGAAGGTTTTAGAGAGAATGGTGGGTAGTTACAGTAGGTTAGTGGGTTATGGGATGTGGGTAACATGATAAACGCATCGTTTAGAGGGGGGTGTAGGTATCCCTACCTACACTAGGGTCTAGTGTATACCAATTACGGCTCAGAAGAGGAAAGGTAGTGCATCATATATGGGCTAAGTCCCTCATCTAAAAAATCATAAGCCTGGGAAGGGGGAGTATACAAATTTGCAAAAGGAAACACACTTTCATCAAACATAACATGTCGGCTAATGATGATTTTATTAGAAGATAAATCATAGCACTTGTAACCCCTATGATTCGTTGGATACCCCAAAAAACACAAGGTGTAGATCGAGGTTGTAACTTGTTTATGGTAGTGGACTGAATTAAGGGGTAACATAAACATCCAAAGACACGTAAGTGAGAGTAAGATGGTTCCTTTTGATAGAGAATTTGGAGAGGAGACTTGTACTCTAGTAATTTACTTGGAAGAATATTATGAAGGTAAGTTGCCATTTGCAAAGCATGATGCCAAAATGATGGCGGTAAAGATGCATGAGCAAGAAGAGTTCGAATTATATTATTTAATGATCTTATTTTTCTCTCGGCTTTTCCATTTTGAGAAGATGTATGTGGACACGATAAACGGAATGACATACCATTAGACTCACACAATGCCCAAAAAGGTCCATTATCATACCCCCTCCCATTATCACATTAAAAAGTTTTAATAGGTCGTTCAAATTGGGTTTTTATGAATGCTTGTAATGATAAAATTTTGTCAAACACATCCGACTTTTTGGCTAAAGGAAAAGTCCACAAAATTTAGAATAATCATCTAACACAAGCATATAATAACGATGACCCGATGAACTCAAAACCGGAGATGTCCAAAGATCACTATGAACAATATCAAAAGGCATAGAAGTGATAGAATTCGAAGACAAAAAAGGCAACTTAACATGTTTTCCAAGTACACATGAACGACAAACACTAGAACTAGAAGAGTGAGTACATTCAATGTGTTTATTATTACTAAGAGTTTTTAAAATAGAAGAACCCGGATGTCCCAATCGATCATGGCAAATAGAAGATGCTAAAGCTATAAAGGTTGATGGAGAAGTCTTTGAAAAAATGCTAGTGATAGGATAAAGGTCCCCTTGGCTATCACATCTCATTATTGGGCTCCCCGTCCGATAATCCTTCACAGAAAAACCATAAGGATCAAACTCAACAGACACACAATTATCTTTCGTAAATTTCCGAACAGAAATTAAATTTTTAATGAGTTTGGGTGCATGTAGGACATTATTAAGGGACAAAGGTGGGTTCGGGGAAGGTAAAGTAGTATGACCACAACCACGAATTGGAATAGTATGACCACTACCAACAATAATACCATTATGATGATTGCTCAAATTAAAATAAGACGAGAGATTACCGTTGGAGGAGGTCATGTGAGAAGTGGCACCGGTGTCCATATACCAAGAAGGATCGGGTTGGTGCAACGTCATAGTATGCAAAGCTGAGTCAATATCCGTAGGACCATAGGAATTGGACTGTTGAGCAACAAAAGCTTGTTGAGGACGTGGACCAAGGATACCAGGCTGCTTCTGTGGGCCTTGTGGACGGGCCCAACCTTGGGTTGGATAAGGAGAAGGTGGGGCTGCCCATTGAGGAGCCCACCCCCAAGGTTGGTACCCGTAAGCAGGGAACTGCTGCCATGGAGGGGGAGTCATCCAAGGCTGTTGTTGCTGACCAGGAACACCACCGGAGGACCGACCACCACTGCTGCCGGAGGACTGGCTGCCATCGCTGGAGGACTGTCCGCGGCCACCGCCACCCGAACCGGTTTGTTTCCGGTTTTCGGATTTCTTGTGAGGCTTGTTTTTGCCACGGATTCCTCTAGAATCACCACTAGAATTTGACGATTCTCGTGGAACACTCGCCACCATAGCTGATGCCATTGCCGCCTGCTTTGCCTTACTCGCTTCCTCCAAAGTGAGCATGGAGCGTGCTTGGTAAAAATGCGGTAGAGGGTTACTCTGCCTAATCAAAGTTGCAACACCATTATAAGGCTCCGAGAGACCCGGAACCAATTGAAGTACAAGTCGGTTGTTATCAGCCGGTGCTCCAACATTCTTCAATTGACTCTTAAGGCGCTGACAATACGCCGAAACACTAGGGAAATCTTCCATATTGGTGTTGGAAAACTCTTGTTCAAGAGTGACGGCACGGGAGTTTTGATTGTCTTGGAAAATGTCACGCAAACGATCCCAAGCCTCCTTAGCCGTTGAATCAGGTTCCATGATAGTGTTTAATAAGTCACGCAAAATGGTCGAATAAATCCAACCGAGGACAGTAGCATCCAAAATTGACCACACTTCCTTCTCCTCGTCTGTCGAAGGTGCAGGGGCTTTCTTTTTCGGTGGGATTATATGGTGTAAAACCTTATGAGATTTCACGTGGACTTTAAATAACTCCGCCTACATAGAATATTCAACATTCTCCATCTCAAGAGTGACGGGAATATTGGTTTTGATATACTGACAGTCATGGCAGGGTGAAATTTGGTGTCTGACATGGCTGTGATGAGAAGAGGGAAGAAGAAGAGGAAGAATAGAGAAGAAGAAGGATAGAGAAGGGGCGGAGAGCTAGGTTGCAGCGGAAGTTAACCTAGGAAATCTGATACCATGAACAATATACTAGGCTATAAACATGGTAACTAAATTATCTTATTAAATGCAACATATAGGCCATGTTATTTTGAGCTTCTGGGAAGAGAAGAGCAGGGGTCAGCAGAGTAGAGCAGATTAAATTTCAGCAGAGCTGAGCAAAGCAGATTTCAGGATAGCAGAGCAGAGCCGAGCAGAGCAGAGCAGAGCAGATTTCAACATTATTATTAATACTATTATTTATGTTATTATTATTAATGTTGTTGTTGTTGTTGTTATTATTATTATTATTATTATTAATTATTTATAATTAATAATAATAATTAAAAATAATAATAATTATTATTAAAATTATTATTATTAATTATTATTAAAATTATTAATATTATTAATTAATAATAATTATTATTATTAATTATTAATATCATTATTATTATTATTGATATTAATAATAATAATTATTATTATTAATAATAAATATTAAAATTATTATTATTATTAATTATTAAAATTATTATTATTATTAATTGTTATTATTATTATTATTAATTATTAAAATTATTATTATTAAAATTATTTTTAATATTAATAATTATTATAATTATTCAAAATAATAAATTATTATCATCAATTACAATATTAATTATTATTGTTGTTATTATTAATTATTATTTGAAAATTAAGCAGAGCAGATCAGAGCAGATTTCTTTTGAGTAGAGCAGAGCAAGCCTACTCTGTAGCGACTGAAAATCTGGAATCTTTCTATTTTATAATAATCTACGAAACCTCAGATTTATGACCTCCCAAAGGAGGGTCGATATTGAGTAGAGCAGAGCAGCTCTAAAGAACGGGGGCATAGAATATTGAAATATATATACCGCAAATGTCTTTAATTAGTCATTAGGACTTTAATAATGTTTGTTGGTATTAAATTATAGTACTGGATGTTATAGTCTTGGTATGGAGATATTTTTGTATTAGTATCAACAATCTCCTAATCAAAAATGGAATTTTCTCCAAATAAAGTGCTACCACATAAAACAAACCGTGGGTACCTTATTTAGGTCAGGTGTTTAACAAATGCCAAAAATGTTCCACCATAAATTCTTGATGGAATCAACTACTCCTATGAGATTCTATTCAAAATTTTCCTTGCATGAAAACTAAAGTAGCAACTAAAATACATGGAGTGCAATTAAAAGCGACAGCTGCGCTACTAGCCATACCAAAAAGAAGAGGAAAGTAGCTAGAAACACATTCCATCTGTCAATTTAATTAGTTTTTTTTTTTTTTTTTTTTTTTTGTATAGGTCAATTTAATTAGTTTCACATCTTTTATTTTAACATGTACTCGTAATTAATTTATACTCTCTTATAAAAAATAAATAAATAAAAATAAAAATAAAAATAAAAATTATACTCGAACTCTATCCATTACAATATTCTTTCTCATTTGGAATTTTTTTACTGTAAAAAATAAGAGGAGTTTATTAAATTCTTCTCTATATAACAAATATCTTCATACGGAATCCTATTTGATTGGTCTCCATAAATACATTATTAATTTTTTAAAATTTTTGCTGATATGAGATTAAATATATTTGCTTGCGATGAAAAATTTGCATCGCTATACGCATACATGTTAACCATTATGAAACTGAGAGAGTATTTTTTTTATACTCCCTCCGTTTTTTTATATGCATTATTTTTATTTTTGCACTATTCGCATACCATGGTTGACTTAATTTATTCACCTCTATAAAATACATAAATGTTATTATATAATATATCATTAGATTAGTCATAATGTCTAGTTTCATAATATAATTTTGTTACAATTTTTTTTTACTAAAGCACGATTAAAGATATTAATAGTCAAAGTTATGTCTCGACAAATGTGTCGGTCAAACTGATGCATTTAAAAAAAAACATAGGAAGTCATTTTTTATTCCGTAACAATGTAAATTCCATATTTTAACCAATTAACTCAAATTCATAAATTTTTGCTCGAATCAAATTGTTGAATTTAAGTTGAACGGTAGGAGTAAAAAGATGGATGTGATCTGAACGAGAGTTAGGGAGATATCTTTTTTTTTTTTGTGTCTAGAGAGTCACAAGGCCACAGCTCACAAGGGCAAGTGATGAGATTCGATCTTAGTATCACCTGGAACCAGAAGGAGGGCTCTAATCAGTTGAGAATTGAGATATCCTTCATCGTCTTAAAGATTGCTATATTTAACTTTTTTCAATCTCCAAGACACGTGTTAAAATATAAGAGTAAACATAATGGTTGCCTACAATCATTGTGGTTATCACTTATTTATTAATTTCTCTATCTTGCACTTCACTTATAACCACTCTTATACCCACTTACTAACCAATGTACCCCAATGGTTGACCATGGTTACACATTTTTCTCTCTCCTAATTTTACCCAACCCCATCATACAATGACCAAGCTTGATATTTCTATTTCACACAATAACCAAGCTTGATAACCTGGTTATTTTCCCAATCGGGTTATTGCTTTTTTTTTCTCTCTCTCTCCTTTATTTTTAAATTATTCTTCCACATTCTCTCTCCTAATAACCATCATAAATGGTTAATGGCTAGATATGCTCTTAAATATACTCTATAAGTATAACTAAAGTAAAAACTGCTTATATCGGCCATGTTTGGTAATTGGCTTTTTGGTTAGCTTTTGGCTTTTGACTTTTTTAGGTGGTCAAATAGCCAAAAAATGTGTTTGGTAATTGGCTTTTTAGTCACAAAAAAGTTGGCTTTTAAGCCAAAATGAAAAAGCTGCTTTGAGTAGCTTTTTTGTTGGCTTTTGGCTTGTTGGTCCACAAATTATCTAATAAACCGCTAACAACCAACAATTAATTTACCAAACACTTTTATAAACAGCCAGCTTAAACAGCCAAATTCAAAAGCCATTATAAACAGCCAAACATTCTAGCTAGTCAAACAAGCCAAGTGAACCAACCAACAGCCAACCGCCAACAGCAATTTGCCAAACAAGGCCATCATCTTTATACACATGTTATAATCTCATGAAATAAAAAATATCCCACCAAAATTGCTTATGACTTATCTCTTTTCTTTCCTATATTTTTCCCTTCCAAATTCAAGATTGGAGAACACAATTCTAAATAAGAGCAAATATAGCCCTATGTCTTAAGACAATAGGCGATATAATCAATATTTAATTTTGTGGTTTTAAGATATTTTGTGGTTTTAAGATAAAACCTTTTTTTTTATGCATTTATGAAGTTTGATCTTAATAAAATTTGAAGTGGAGTCTTGAAAATTCAAGACTTTTTTTTTTTTGAAAAACAAGAATATTTCATTAATTATAAGTCATACGACATCTACAATGATTCGACGTCAACAAATACATAAGATATTGAATCAAATAAAATTTCCCTTCATAAAAACTACAATATAATCGTCGAGTAGATCTTGTACTATGGAACATCTCCCGCTTATATCACTGGGAAATACAGTCTTGTTGGAGAGACAATTTAACGATCCTTTATAACCGTGAAGATGTCTTCTGATTTATCTGTTTGTATTCGAAAACTTGATAACTTTTTCACCAACAAAATAATTTCACGACAATCTATATATTAGATCTAACATCATGGATTCAAAACTAAGAAATTTCTTCTCCGAAAAGAGGAGATAAACCTTGTCTTTTGAAGGAGATTGAAAACTCTTTCTTTGAAGGAAGAAAAGTTCCCCGTAAAAGGAGGAAGCATTATCAATAAACCTGCAAAAACTTTAAAGAAGCAAGGATTGGGGCTTCCCACCAGTTAAAACCGATGGAAGCCCCTTCAAAATTCAACAATGGGAGCTAGGGTTTTAGAGAGAGCAAGGAAGAGATAGGAGATAAATTATATTATTTTGCCCATTCAAGAACCAACTTAACAATCAATTAACTTTTTTATTTTAAAAAAAAACATTAATATAGTTTTTTTATATAAAATAAAAAATGAGTATGAAGATGAAGAGTTAAATCTAATCAAGTCTTAAAGAGTATTAAAATAATTATAAATTAAAAAAAAACCTAATAATTGATGTCACAATGGATTAATGTTTTAAGACAAGACTACTCTAATCTTGCTCTAAAGACATAAAATTGTGAATACCATTCAACTTAAAACGCATTAAGGATTCTTCTCTTCTAAAAAAAACCCTCTTAACGTGAATCAATTTTTTATACTCTATTTTGTTGATTTTTTTATAAAAAAAATATTCTTCTCTTCAAAAATTCCTCATTTTGTGAATGAATTATTCTACACTCTTTTTTGTTGACATTTTTTTGTAAAAATATATTCAAAATTATGTATTCCACAAATTTTGATCTAGTAATTTGATATTTTAAAAGTAATAAACATAAAATGAAATCTAATAAGATCCTATTAGTTACAATAACTCTAATATTAGTGATTTGTGGTCAAAGTTTTGTGAATTTTATTTGTGACTTACCAAGGGCTTGTTCTAATTACCTGAAAACAACTTAAGTGAACTGAACTAAACTGAACCGAGCTGAATAGAGCTAAAATGAATTGTTTATGAGAGAAGAAAATTAGGAACTGAACTGAACGTATTGAAACTGAACCGAACTGATGAA